GTCGTAGGCGAACGGCATGGCCTCTTCCTTGTACTGGGGCTCCGGATGGTAGAAGCGGGCTTGTAGGAGGGGGCCGGCTTGTAGGAGGGAGCCGGGCGGTAGGGGGCCGGCGTGGGCTTGTGCACCGGCGTCTCCGGAGCCGGGGCGGTGGCGGCGACAGCCAGCACGGCGGCAATGACGAAGATCTGAAATGTTACAGCGGTTGAATTATTAATAAGGCGAAGTTTTGGGCATATTTTCTGTCTTACAATGCATTTTAAAAACCACGCGTCTGATACAACACATCTCAGCATGGTTCCGACCACGGCATATTTTCCAGAATGATCTCGGGCGGATGAAAAATACTACCTCAAACACATCCTTCAAGTGACTACCTGCATGCTTTGTTGTTGTGGTCGAGTGCGCAGTGAAACTGGTGCCTGCTTCCACAGTGCTTTCGTTTTTATAGGCCGTCCGCGAGCCGCCGATGTAAGGCCAAGGACAGGAGCCCACTGAACGGGGGGCTCCCGCTACCACAGGCTAGACTGATGAATTAGCCTGGAGACTTGGCCGATCCCCGGGACACGCCCAACTTGTGGCAAGCGATTTCGTCGCCCTTTAAATTCGGTCCTTTCTTACCCATGACTTTAGATGTGGGTATTTCATTGAAAACGTACAGGCACATGTTCAGTTTGATGAAGAAGAGAATGCCAATTGATGACGAGCGCGGTGTCGTACATTCAGGTGCCATGTCATGCGTAGTAATGTGCCATGCTTAATTTTTTTGGTTTTATGTACATCCACACACGAATGTATACACACATATATATATATATATATATATATATATATATATATATATATATATATATATATATATATGCATGCGTTTATATTCGGTGGCACTTTCGGCCTTCGCATGTTGCCTCCACTTTTGCAACAGTTTGGGAACCGTTTTGTGATGCATTCTTAACGTTTAAGCACCAAGTAACTTTTTAAACTCTACCAAAATTTGCCTTGAAAAATTTATGATGTAAAACTTTCGATTTCATACGCAATGTGTTTGCAGCAATTGAGCCATCTAATGTAAACACTTAATATATAAGCGCTATAAACGAGCAAATGTATACAATTCTGGATGCTTCTAATAACAAATTTCGCATACCAATTTCTAGCAAATAACTCACGTTAATTTTAGGGATTTTGACATACCGGCCTAGATGTAACAAAACCTAAAAAAAAGAAAATATGTGCTGTCGGGTTCCGTGATGCCAGAACCAAAGGCAACCCATTTCGCAAGTCTCAGCCCATGGTCCACCTTTAGAATGTCCACGCAACACCGTGAAAGCCATGCAACGTCAATACTCGCAGCACTAACTCACTATGTCTCATGCGCACCATGACCATGACATTTAATGTTTTGTCTGTTCTGCGCCAGATTATGCACCAAAAGCCTAAATCCTTCAACTACTGCTGCCAGTTCGTCGACAGTTGGACAAATGTGTCATAGCTGACCGTTGCCGCCATCTTTTGGGTGCTGTGTAACCGACGTTGCGTATTGTATGTTCATTGCCATGTATTGGCACTTATCATCGGAACGTTTATATTTCTAGCGCAAGTTTCTCTTCTCTTGTTTACGTTTTAGCCTATCGGCTGGGTCGTAACACCGTTTTTGCCCTACAACACTTCCGGTACAGTATACCAACAATCTGCCCATGTTGTGACGAACTCAACCTCAATGATGCAACTGTCGGGAACAGGGAATAACCGATACACTTCTGAGTGTAACAAATAGGTACGTTTGCTCCTCACCAGCTGCTGAGAAGCATCACATGCAAATGCATACAGCGCTTCAAAGTGCGGCCGGCGCCTCATACGTGCTACCTCGTCTTTCTTTACGACTCCAAATGTATGAAGTCTTGGTGTCCATAGGGCGTCACTCCTAGCCATGCCCCCATATCCCACTGATTTGGTGATCTATTACGTACGCTGTTATGAATACGTCAGTCATTCTTTAGATGTTTGGGTGCGCTAAACGTTTTCTGCACGACCAATCGCATTTTGGCTAGCGTCGTTAATAGTTTTATTAACTGTTTCCACATATATTCCGTTCATTTCAACGCCATTTAGATGTCGATAGTTGTGTTAGCGTGGTTTGGCGAGCATGGCTGAAGTCGCCCACAGAGCCCCAGGAGACTAAAATTGGTGAGTTCTACTGTCTGGTACCGAGACACGTTACTGACACTTGGGAGGCTACTGTGATGAATATTCCTCCGACTGTAAATAGAGACAATTTGCAGATTCTTGTTGCTGGAAGCTTAGGGCGGCCATGTTCTTAATGGTAGCCACTGTTAAAACATATCACATGTTGTCTTATACAATCCCTGATAACTTGAAGGCAAATACATCTTAAATGGCAGGGTCAACACTCCTGGGTCCTTTTTGCTTGTTTTCTGCGGCATTGAATGCTGTTATTAATTTTTAAGATACCTGTTAGGAAAACTCACTGAACACACACTTTCAGCCCTTTATTTCCCTGGCCACTCCTCACTCTCCTCGGGAGGAACATCTGAGCGTTCGGGTGAGCCGCTCTCGCACAACCACAAAATGTTCGACCGCCGCGGCCACCTGCTACTGTGCAAAATGTCTGACCGCCGCCGGCCTCCTAAAACACTGCTTGACATCAAAGACAATCCACTATTAAACAAAACAATCCCCAACATCCTCCCCGCCTTTGGATTGAAACGGCATTCCTAAACAAGCAAGGCACTGCACCACACAAAACTTGGCCTGGCGGAGAAGGAGGGGCGAATGATGAACGGCTTCACTGATCGTCACACAGTTCTATGTCGCGCAGCCGCTGGACTGCCTGGGTCCTCAGCTGGCCCGCTTTAGTTCGGACCTCAGCTGACCTGGCTACACGGTCCATGCTTGGGTACAGCTTGTTGATTACCCCGATCACCCAATTCATCCTAGGGACTTGGTGCTCCCTGATCACGACCACTGATCCCAGCCTCAGCTTACCGTGGGACCTAAACTTGCGGACCGGCGGAGGTAGGGTCCGCAGGTACTCATTCCTCCACACCGGCCAGAACCGGTTCAACCGTCCGTCGCGCACACGGGCTCTGTCGGACAGCATCTTACTACTGCTCACGGACTCTTACATCATGCCCACGGACTCTGCATCCTCCAGCACCATGGCTTGGAAGCCGGCACCAACACTCTGCCCCCTACCACCAAACAGTTTTAGGCAGCACACAGCACTGTGACGTCCTCCACACTCCGCACACACCTTGTCACATCTGCGAGCCACATGTCCACTTCCCAGGCACCGAAAGCACAGCCCAGCCTGCCTGATAGCATCTCTGCGCTCTGGTACTGACAGGGGCTTTAGCTTCAGACACACCTCAGGCTGGTGTGTCTACCCACGGAAGCTACACCCTGGCCTGGCTCCTGACTGCAGAGCTGCTGCTGCTGGTGTCCTCCTCTGCCCCCTCTCTCTTCTTCCCTTGTCGAGGGCCGCTTGTGGCCATGTGACGCTCTTCATCACCTGGGGCAGCCAGCTGCTGACCTGGAGCGCCCTGTACCTGAATAGAGTCATAGGCACTGGAACGCTCTCTGCGCTCCATCTCAGCCGCCAGGAAGCTCATCACCCACGCGAGGTCCGCTTCCTTGCCTGTGCCCTCACGAACCCACTCCAGCCTGATGTCATGGACAGCTTAGACAGGATAAGAGGGACAAGGATTACACCATACCTGTCACCTCCCACACCAAGTGACTTCAGGCTGCGGATGTGGGTTAGGAGGCAGTCCTGCAGCTCTCTCAGGGACTGATGGCTACTGGATCTGGCTTCTAGAAGTGGAAGAAGCTGTTGGATGTGGGAAAAGGTTATCACTTCCTTCCTCTCAAACCTGTTCTTGAGGAGGTCACATGCACTGACATAGTTTCACCAGTCAGGGCAAGACCCGCCACACAGTCCTGGGCCTCCTTCTCCAGCACCGACCGAAGATAAGCAAGCTTGGTCACATCAGGCAGCCCCGAATTATTGACGGACACCTCAGAGCTCTCCCAAAAGGACTGGCACTTGAGGACATCCCCACTGTATCTCGCGAGCTCCAACTTTGGAAGCCTCTGTCCCTCCCGGCTCAGTGAGCTCGCTGAGCCAGCCCTACTGTCCCGCTCCAGGGCTCCACCAACCTTATCCAAAACCGACATCACCCCGTCTCCCAGGTCGGCTGCACCCTCAATATAATTAAGTATCTCTTCCTCTGCCTCGAAGCACAGCTCCACCTCAGACTGGGCCTCATCCAGGAAGTGGAGCCTCTTCTCGCAGCCAAGTTTAGCGGCCTTAAGTGCATCTTGATCTGGTTGTTTATGTTCCAGAATTCCCTCAAGCTTCCTCACTGACCTGGTCAGCCAACCTCTAGGTCCTGTTCGTTTCTTGAGAGCTGCGAATCGCCGCCTATGAAGTAAACAGCTTTGTGTGCAAAAAATAAGAACTCAACAAAAATCCTCAGAAATAAAGGAATTGCACTTTGCACGCTACAAGTCATTAAGATATGTAAGGATCCGAAAGATATTCCCTGCAGAATATGCCGACCTGACCACCTGGTAGCACTGGAGCTGTGAAGGACCTTCTTGGAACGATCTGAGTCATTCCAGACACGAGGAGGAGCTTGCTTTCCCAGTGGCTTGCCAGAGAAGTTAAACAAAGTCGTGCATTGATAACCACCATCGAAGGAGTTTCGGTGCATTTATTTTCAACACATCACCTCTACTGATCACCGAGAATATTCGTTTGAAAATAATTACTTCAATACGTCTTAATCGCACCGAAAGCTTCCGGCAGTATTTGTGGCGGAGGTACTGCACGCAAAACCTGTGATAAACCACCTCGTGGCTAAATGACATACTCTTGACATTATGTTCGGGTTGGTTGTTGCTTGGCTGTTGTTGCAGCGGCATCACTGAAATTAGCTCACTGGACAACGCAAGATGGCTTGCGTAAAAACACGCGTGGCTTGAGTGTTTCGTTTATTGAAACACAGCGGGTCAGGTCACAAAAAAGTTTCACAACATCAGCATTTGTGCGTTTAAATAGAAAACATTCTTTGGCATTTGACTAGTACGCCGCCGCCTTGTAGGCCGGAGCGGGATGGCTGTAGGCGGGCTTGTAGGCCGGAGCGGCAGCCTTGTAGGCAGGGGCAGCAGCCTTGTAGGCAGGGGCGGGGTGGTACTCGGGGTAGGTGGCCTCTCCCTCGTAGGTGACCTCAGCGTTGTAGCCGCCGTAGTGGTCAGCGACGTACTTGACGTGCTGGACACGGCCGTCGGGCAGAGCCACCGAGTAATATCCCTGGGTGTTGTGGCCATCGCTCTCCTCCTTCTTGGCAAAGCTAGCTCCGGAGTAGTGGTCGTTGACAGCATAGTCGTAAGCGAAAGGCTTGGCTTCCTCCTTGTACTGGGGCTCCGGGTGGTAAGAAGCGGGCTTGTAAGACGGAGCAGGGTGGTAGGGGGCGGGCTTGTAAGACGGGGCCGGGTGGTGGGGCGCCGGCTTGTAGGACGGGGCAGGGTGGTAGGGGGCGGGCTTGTAAGACGGAGCAGGATGGTAGGGGGCCGGGGTCGGCTTGTAGGCCGGGGCCGGGTGGTAGGGCGCGGACTTGTAGGACGGAGCAGGATGGTAGGGAGCCGGGGTCGGCTTGTAGGCCGGGGCCGGGTGGTAGGGGGCTGGCTTGTAGGTCGGTGCCACGTGATGAGACGTCTTGTGCTCCGGGGCGGCCGCGGCAGCAGCCAGAACGGCGGCAATAATGAACACCTGTAATGCCATAACGATTATGTTACGGATATGCGATAGTAATCTTAAATAATTTCTCAACGGTTTTACTACATTTGATTCGATGTCGTTATTACATTAGGCTTTATTACAGTCGACACATGTAATGACCACATCTGTCATTCAATTCGCAGCTCACACCACAGAGCACTGAAAACACATGTAAAAATACCGTGGTTTGTAAAACGCTGCCTTTCTCAAAGCCAACACAAATCCGTAGGCATTCGCCAAAAGTTAGGTTTTTCTGGTGTTGGCAGTTTTGGTGACATTCATTTCGGTGCCCATTTGGGTCCGAGATACGTCGTTGTAAATGACGATTCCAGAGCCTGCACGGCAACTGCGGTGCAGTAATGTCATTTAGGGTTACCTCAGGTATACCTGGGCCATTTTTCCATGACTGTGATGTAGGGACGCTTGGCCATACTTAGTTTGGAGGGAAAATGCACGGTGCTTGCCGGGAAAGAACACAACAAACGTCCATTTTCAACATCAGCCTCATGGAAGATACTCAATGTGCACCAAAGACTATCCACACGACTGCTAGCTTTATGATTCCATGACTACGTCAAACACATTGGCTCAATGCATGTAGCAAATGGCTCCGCAGCGGTCATAAGCGCACTTGTCCAGCTGTATGCTTGGTGACACCTACCTTCATGCTGTGTGGTTTAGTGGCCGGGTACGCCGTGCAACTGGTACAGATTCCCACAGTGTCTTTGCTTTTATAGGTCGGCCAAGACCAGATCTTGGCCTGAGGTCACGGCCCGCTGCGCCCAGTCATTGGCTGACCCACACTGTTCTCCTGGTCGGACCGATGAATAAGCGCAGGACCCATGGCCACGCCCTTGGGCGCGCCCACTGCCACCGGCTTGAACCCGTGGCCGGAAGCTTGGAGCCAGCTCATAGCCCGGCAGCTGCTCGCAAAAATGGGATGTTGATAACAGACTGGCGATAGCGGTGGGAAACTGGGTCTTTTAATAAATCGCGGCAATTCTTAGCTTAATGTATCCGCTATAATACATTTCCCAAGACCGAGCGTCGTCGCCATCAGCGCCACTACACGGATGGACTTATCGTAGGAGATCGCTGTGCTCCAAACGACAGCTTGTTTGAACGCCGCTTTCATTTAATATTCAGTGTATCTGGTAAACGATTCTGTCACAGTAGTTTCGATCAGGGGTTTGGTTGTTCGGAGGGACGTTGATAGTACATTTTCTGCCACCGGCTTGAACCCATGGCTGGAAGCTTAGGGTCAGCTCATAGCCCAGGCAACTGCTCGCAGAAGTGGGGAAGGTTAGTAACAGCTTGCCTACAGCCGCTTGAAACTCGTGTTTTAATCGACCGCATCAAAGTTATGATAATTTGTTGTGGCCGCTCATAGATATTTTCCGAAGCATGCGCGCTCTGCATGTCATAAACACTGCGTGTCTGGATATATATTATAAAGTTCATTTTGCTGCAGACTACAGGTTTTATGTCTGGTGCTTTCGCACCCCATGCACTTCATCGGGTGCAGGGCACTGCAGTTTTAGATTAAAATTACAGGTTTGAGTTTTTGACACATTATCGTCAATAAAAGTATCACCGTCAATTTGCAAGATCGATCTAGAAGATTTTCTAATCACACTCTAAACAGGAGGGCTCACCTGTGATATATTCTGCAAACACCTGTGTTATTTGCGGAAAAGATGATGGCACGAGTGTGGGCTTGAAAGGATTACGTCTCGGAAACATTTTTTTCCTGGAACGACCAAAACATGACATGAGAACTTTTAATCCATGCCAAGCGCTCCAGTGCGTCAGAAATATTCCACTTTTGTGTTTTCTCTTCAGGAGGAGCGCAGTCATGCAAAATAAATTAGACACTAAGTGGGGTAATACGGGCTCAACCTGCGCCACACCCTTTCCTCCATCAGAGCAACGCGTGTTTCTCTCCGGCCAGAAGGTGTTATCCCGGACCAAAACCGTATTCTTCGCGTTGAAAAAGACGTTAGCTCAGGATTTAGGCAACTTTTCAGAATTGATATAATTCTGTCACCCTCTCCGAACCAAACAAGAAAGAACACCGCTGATGTTCGACCATAACGCTGGGAACTAGAACAGTCATCACAGATTATCACCACAACTTTTCTGTCTCACGTAGAGCTCACGTAAATCTGGAAACATTCGGCATTAGTCTTCAGCATGTACGGATACTTCGAGGAAAACACGAAACAACAACGAAACGGAGTTCCATTTCTTTTACTTTTTATATTCATTTGTGGACAGGGTTAATCCTCTCAACAAGGAAACAGAACTAAACGTGAGAGACAAGATCTTTACATCCATATGTCAGCAGGTTGTTGCTTGAGTCACGACACGTGCACGAGAGGCCTGGCTCTCATACAGCTGCGGTGTGAATGCTACACGCCCTACAGCTGTATCAGTGTCGCACAGTTGGTCGCAAGAGGCAAACGGCGCCCCCTTCGTTGAATTGAGCCAGGTGCGGATTACACGAACTGAACTTCTGATTTCACCCACAGGATGGCAGGAGTATCGACCGTGTGTTGTCACCCAGCTGCCTGTGTGAATCCTAGCTCATGGGTCGTTGAAATAGAAAAAACGGCATAGCACCGCTGTAAGTTATTGGGGCAGAACGCCTTGTACCCACCCCTAACTTTTGCAACGTGCAATAATCTATGACATCACTCTATATCTACTTACGACTCGTAGTTGTCGTGTTTATTCGAGAAAGCAGTTTGCCATTCGCAAACATTTTTAAAGAATGCACGCTTGACATGAAAACAATGATTGATTTGTTTTCAATTTGCAGCGAAATTGGTTCTCCAGCCAGCACATGTACATATTTGCAAACAAACATCCGAGCGGTGATACCATAGCGACACCATGTACATCGCAGCAGTTTTCCGCTTGGGCAGCGGAAGCGTGCCTCTGTCGTGCAGAATCGGAACATCCGTTTCGAGAATGGGTCGTGACGGTTTCAATGGTGGCAAGGTTTGGTGTTTGTAGACGCAGTCGAGTGTAATTTGGATTGTTTCATCAACAGTCGCGTTTGGGAAATGACTGTCTACGCGTAATGATGCAGGTAGACCGGTGGGATTGTAAAACCTGATTTTGCCAATAAATTGTCCTGTTGGTTGCAAGCTATACTCTGCTGGTGTGTAGCGTTTAATCATGCTATTTAAAGTTTTTGCCTGCTGATAGGTAGCTGTTGGGATTTTAGATATATGTGGTCCCAGGGTTGCCCATTTCATGGCTTTATCTTCAGCTTTATATATATATATATATATATATATATACATATATATATATATACATATACATATGTGTGTGATGGGTTGTAACGTGCCATTACGGGATGGGTGGTCAAGTACGGATCCTTTGTCCATTGTAGTGATGTGGGGAAGCATTCATCCGTCAGGCAGCCACAATTCAGAAGTGTTTGACCAGCCGCGCACTAATAACCACCTTTCAGGTCACTTCAGTGTGGCGATTTTGCTGGCCGGCACCTACATTTCGCAGAGAAAATGGGCGTTGTGATGCATCGTTTTGATTTGGTACCAATTGTATAGCTAGTGTATAGCTTTGTATAGTAATAAAAATTGTATAGTATTGTATACATTTTCGTATTGTGACGAGATTGACCGGCTCACACGCCATCATGTCACATGGAGGTTCACTGCCTAATATAAATTACAAATGTTGTTGTCGTCAAGAGCTTCGTTGAATGGAAATGTCCCGTTTCAGTTGGTCAGATAACATCGCCCCCTGGAAGAGGTATGAGTGTTTTTAAGAAACGCATGACTTGAGTGCTTCGCTGTATTGCAACAGAGCAGGTCAGGTCACGAAAAGCTTGATAACAACACATTTACACGTTTAAATAGGCAAACGTTCTCATCGGGTGACTAATACGCCGCAGCCTTGTATGCCGGGGCGGGATGGCTGTAAGTAGGCTTGTGGGCAGGCTTGTAAGCCGGGAGTGGCAGTCTTGTAGGCAGGGGCGGGGTGGTACTCGGGGTACTGGGCCTCTCCCTCGTAGGTGACCTCAGCGTTGTAGCCGCCGTAGTGGTCAGCGACGTACTTGACGTGCTGAACACGGCCGTCGGGCAGAGCCACCGAGTAATATCCCTGGGTGTTGTGGCCATCGCTCTCCTCCTTCTTGGCGAAGTTGGTGCCGGTGTACTGGTCGTTGACGGCGTAGTCGTAGGCGAACGGCTTGGCTCCTCCTTATACTGGGGCTCCGGATGGTAAGAGGCCGGCTTGTAGGAGGGGGCCGGCTTGTAGGAGCGGGCCGGGTGGTAGGGGGCCGGCGTGGGCTTGTACACCGGCGTCTCCGGAGCCGGGGGCGGCGGCGGCGACAGCCAGCACGGCGGCAACGACGAAGATCTGAAATGCCACCACAGTTGTGTTATTAATAAGCCAGTCGTTTTGACATTTTTCCTGTTTTACAATGCAGTTTACAACCACGCTTCTGATACAACGCATCTCAGCATGGTTCCGACCACGGCATGTCTTCCAGAGTGATCTCTGACAGTTGAAAAACACTACCTCAAACACCTCCTTTCAAGCCGACTACCTGCATGCTGTGTTTTTGTGGTCGAGTGCGCAGTGAAACTGGTGCCTGCTTCCACAGTGCTTTCGTTTTTTATAGGACCGTCCGCGAGCCGCCGATGTAAGGCCAAGGACAGGAGCCCACTGAACGGGAGGCTCCCGCTACCACAGGCTAGGCTGATGAATTAGCGTGAAGAATTGGCCGATCCCCGGGACACGCCCAACTTGTGGCAAGCGATTTTGGCGCCCTTTAAATTCGGTCTTTCCTTACCCATGACTTTAGATGTGGGTGTTCCATTGAAAACGTATAGGCACATATTCAGTTTGATGATGAAGGAGAATGTAATTGATGACGAGCGCGCTGTTATACATTCAGGTGCCATGTCATGCGTTAATGTGCCAAAGTTGATTTTTTTTGGTAATATATACTTCTACACACACGTATACATGTATACATATATGTCTATATGTAGATAGATAGATAGATAGATAGATATGCATATATATAATATATATATATATATATATATATATATGTTGATATTTGTGACACTTTCGGCTTTCGCATGTTGCCTCTTAGTTTTCCAGCAGTTTGGGTAACCGTTTGGAAAGCATTCTTAACGTTTAAGTACCAAGTAACTCTTTGCGTTCTACCAGAAAGTTGCCTTGAAAAACTTCTGATGTAAACTTTCGATTTCATACGGAATGTTTTTTGCAGCAATTGAGCCATATCATATAACACTTTATATATAAGCACTATAAACGGGCAAATGCATACAAGTTCTGGATGCTTATATTAACAAATTTCGCGCACCAATTTTTAGCAAATACCTCACGTTAATTTCAGGGATTGTGACATACCAGCCTAAATGTAAACAGAACCTAGAAAGAAAGAAAATCTGTACTGTCGGGTTCCGTAATGCCAGACACGAAAGGCAACCCATTTCGCAATCTCAGCCCATGGTCCATCTTTAGATATCCACACAAACACCATGAGAGCCATGCAACGTCAATACTCGCAGCACTAACTCCCTATGTCTCGTGCGCACCATTGCCATGACATTTAATGTTTTGTCTGTTCTGCGCCAGATTATGCGCCAAAAACTTAAATCTTTCAAGTACTGCTGCCAGGT